AATAAGCAACACCACAGAGACTGGATTCAAGGGAAATACAAAGTGTTTTTTTAAAATACATTAACCAAAGACAAAATTTACTAGAATTGAGAGCACCCTTGTGTTCACAAAAACGATCTGGAAATTGAGGGAAATCGTTTGGAGCCTGTTAACCAGAACTGTCCTCAAAAGACACTTTGCTGTCAAAAAAAAAAAATAAATTAAAAAGGGAAGCTAAGGTGCATCTCCAGACTCAGAGCTTCAGCATTCTAACCCTGATCACTCATTTGCCCCATTTTTAAAAGGGATTGAAGCATAACTCCAAATCTAGAGCAAAACTCAAATTCAACAATTTGCCCTCTAACATTTAAGTGCCATTATTCCGCTGTACATTACTGCTGGAGCAAGAGTTTCCATTTCCGTCCTGAAGTATTACCTTAAGAGCTTACGTTTAACGTAGGTTCTGCTATTTTAACAAACCAGTCATCTCTCCTACATCACAGACCAGCATCAGCCACAAGGAGGAAGCCAGAAACTTATATGCAGCGAGACTTAAGATTATTCTATTCATAAAAAACTCATTCTTCTGCTTCACCTCAATCATTACGCTAAAGCAAAAAGGAAACCGAAGTTGTTGAGTACAAAACACCCAACTTACCTCCACGGTTTCCATTTTCACTTCATGAACCTCCTGAGCTGGCACCAGAGTCTGAAGAGGAACAGATTTCACAGAAGGACAGAACCCAACCATGGCACAAATGTCCTTTGGTTGCTGGAAAGAGAGGTAAAAGCAATTTTTAAAAGTCTACAAGACTGACCTTTCTACGGAGCCTGTGAGCAGACACAAAGTTTTAAAAGGCTCCAACATAACCAGAAGTTTCATGACTACTTCTATTTCAAGTATTGCCAATGCATTTGATTATGGTTTTAGGCAGGACAACTACCAGATGAAATTTAGCAGTTTTTTTAAAAGTGGAAAAGGTTAGGCCACATCCATCTGAAAACCCCACCGAGCACGAGCTCCTACGCTGTGCAAGCCCTTCAAAGGAGTTGACTTAGGAGCTACCGACACCAAAACAGGCCACCAGCATCTCATTAGACCTGCACCTGCAAAGCTGCTCCCCCGAAAGCTTTAAGGAACCACAGAAGCAGCTAAATCATCCTGACTTGAGAGTCCGCCCAAGAGCTGAAATGCCTAGAACAACAGATTCCTTTTCTCATCCATGAACTACCTTCTTTAAAGCATCCAGTAACACCTCGCTTAGCAAACAGATCTCAAACTTACTGAACGCCGCCTATAAGAAACAAAAGTTATCCGTGTTAAAGTCCAACCTTTTACAGGTATCTGCAGTAACTGCACTTCAAGTGTTCTTTTTGCAGTAAGAGACAAAACAGCAGAGAAAGACTTGGGCTCCTTTTTAAAGGCTTTCTCAAAGATTTTAGAAACATACATTACTAAATGCAAAAATAATGTGAGGCAAACCGCTCTAAGGAGACCACGTTATACCCACACAAAGTGAGAAAGGCTATATACAGAGTAATACACAAAACTTGATTTTTTTTTTTCCCCTACTTAAGCTAAAAAAAATTAAACAAAAAAAACCTACCAAAAAACCACCTTTGGTCCTATGGGTAATTAGAAGATCATACTCTGCCCTGTCACCAGGACATTGACCTTCTTACAGGCAGCTTACACAACAGTTAATACATCATGCCACAACCTCGTGCACAGGCAAAAGCAGTATCTCAAACAGTGCTGCTTCAGATTACTCCAGGCAGTACCTTTAAGTCAAGCCCTTTGGTTCATGCATTGTAAGAAGCATCTCCAGCTATTAATGTTACGCAGCAACACCCACATGCACACAACGTGTTCTCTCACGGAGAGATGACAGACACAAGGTCGCCCAGAACTGCTTCAATTAAAGGCCCATATAGTTCTAGGAAGCAGGAGCCAAACATCCATGCCATTGTCCTAGATTTAAAGGGTTAACCAAAAAAAGACCCAGCGATAGCTTCACTCAGCCCTTTTTGAGCCTGAAGTTTAAACCAGAAGCTGACAGAAGCCACCAGAATGCTTTTTCCACATCTACCCTTCTCATACAAAAGCGAGTGTGGTTTCTGCTCTACTGGCCAAAGCATGAACAAGCTGTCTTCAGAGGACAAACTGGTATGTGGAGGGGGAAGGAGGACTGCTTCGACACCAGAGGAAGTCTATAGTCCTTCTCTACTTTAACCCCTTGTATCTGTCAACACAGAGTACAATCACACCAGGTACACAGCTAATAGAGCAAGAAGTGAACTATAAGCACGCTATCACCACAGGCAAGTTGCTCACCTACCTGATCCTTCTGTTGACAGGGGAGATTGGAGACAGAGGAAGAAAGAAGAAATTAAAGATAACAGTTAAGAGCAAAAAATAAAAACATCAAGCACTTGGAACTGCAAACACTATTTTCCATGATGATGATGATGATGATGATATATGACATGGTCCCCACCCCAAAGATCCTTAGCATTGCTACGGCAACTCAGGTTTAATTGTACAGCACTAACCAAGATTATTCATTTAACGTCATTAAAGCATCCTGGACAAGACTACCTCTAAAGAGCACGACCAACACAGCCGGATGTAACGTGTGGTCATATTCTAATTTCAGGTTTAAGCATCGCAGTGCGATGCTTAAAATGAGAAACCAACTGTTATTGGAACAAAAGATTTGCTTCCTTTTCCCCCTTCAAATGCTTAAGGAGCAGTATGACCTTCTAAGGAGCAACTGGAAACAAAACAAACAAAAATAGGCCACCGTGTTGCCAAATTCAGGTTCAAGTCGGCCGCGTACCTATAATCTGTTACGCTACTTGCGGCATCTAGGCACTGCAACCTCTAAGGATTTGAGGTCTGTGGATAAAGAGGTGCTACAGAGGCGGTCAGAGGTTAACACACATCTTGTGTTGCTGCAGAAGACCAGAGCTGGTGCAGTACCACTCACTTTCCATAGCTCCTATCAAGAGTCCAGAGAGCAGGAGTCTTGAGACAGCAATTCCAGAAAAATGACACGTAGTCTCACTTCAAACAGACATGTTACCTCTAACACTTGAACCAATTTTGCAATATGGTGGCAAAGACCAACTCCAATTTGCTTAAACTAGTATTTGGTGGGGAGAGGGGGAGGTGGTGTTAAGTACAGGACCGAGACAGAAGAGTATAAAGGAATATAATGTAACGCATCTTCTGCGTTTTGAAGTATTAGTGTGCCTTTTGCACCCCTGAAGTGGTTGTGAAAGGAAAGTGCTAAAGAAAACACTCCCAAGACTGAAGTTACCATCCTGTTAAATGCCAAGTTCACAGCATTAACACCAAGAATTACAGAGCAAGGACTCCCTCCCCAGACTTCAGCTGCTTCCAGGCAAGTTAGCTACACAAAGGCAAAAAATGAACCAAGAGTAAATACTATATTCGAGTGATCTTACCATGTGCATCATCATTTGGATAGCCAAGTCAGAATATTCAGAGATATAGCTCTTGCACTGCAGGAGAAGAAAGTCTTGTAAATATCGAGTCACTTAAGCTGTAAAGTTAATCTTGAATTTTCTAATACATCTCAAGGTAGTAATTTACCAGCTCTACTTAATAAGTATTCTGTTATCTTTCAGAGTTTATTCCAAATATATGAAAGCATTTCAGGTTACACAATCACTGCACACATAGCTGCTTATCTGAGGAATCCTTTTCTCTTCCTCTCAGGGCAAAAGCGCTCCCCATCACTGACACAACTACATTAGCCTGCCAGATCATTTTTTACAAAAAAAAGGCCTTTTAAGGGCTAGCAGAATCTTGAGCCGTCTTCTTCCTCCTCAGTCTCCTATACCTCACCCCACCCAACTCTCTTGACCAGAAAGTCTATTTTGGCGTTATCACTGCGTAACATATCCTACGTGTGACACAATTTCCTCTGATTTATTAAATAGAGATTACACTGAGAGGATTAAGGCGCTGAACAGACTATTTTATATTTGCATACAGGCACAGGTATTTAAACAAATAAACAAAAAATGACAGGTTACCATATCAGACATTCCAGGTCCCAAACGGTCACACTCCTCCTTGGCATGAGCAACCAAAGACTTCACAAAAGATGAGTTTGTCCTCACAGCTTCCTGAACGTCAGTAACCAGCTGAATGCAATCTTGGCACACATCTCCACTTCCCTGGACAAACGGTGAAAGGAAACTTAAGATGACGTGTCTTCACAGAGCATCTTTCAGAAGCTTTTGTTACTACTGAGTTTTAAAAGATCTTTAAAACTCTATACGAACCTTAATGAATACAGAATACTCAAAAGCCTGAGCTACTATGAACAGACAAGTTACTGCTGGTATGTGCATGAGCCACCAGACAGAGATTAGAAAGTTACCCGGCTCTGGAACCCACAATAACTGTTAAGATAACCGGTCTCCATAATCTCCTGGTTTCGTTATGGACCACAGCAGGAAGGTTTCTAAATGTGGCGTATGTCTTACCTGCTCCACCCAAAGCAGCTTGTCCTCCACCCACCTGACTGTTTAACTCCCATATCTAGTCTTGCTAACAAGACAGCCTCTGCTTCCAAGTTCCTTGTCTCACCTACTCCCCTTTTGTCAACTCCTTCTTCTTTTCTGATCCAGTCTGATTCAGAGAGGAATGCTTCCCCCGAAGGGCACAGCTAGCAGATTACTCAGAACACAGAATTCTTCCTTTGAACGCTGGTGCCAAACTTGGTCTCAGAAGAAACTGTTTCCTGTAAGACCTGCTCAACTACTACAGTCCTGGATGGCAACAGCCCGGCACAAGACTTGTCCTTACAGACTGTGGTTGTTAATGCAAGATGAGACACACAGTCCACAGGGGCTGCAGCCATCATCTTACTGGCTATAAACCCACACATTAAGGAAAAAGGTAGCTGTCTACGCAACAGCACAAAATTCGATATGAGACAGTCACCCAAGCAAAGCAGAACAGCTCAACCCATGTATAGCACAAAAAGCCCTTATCAATCATCATCATTAAGTTCTCACACAAAGGAGCCTTGAAGCTCTGGAGCAAAAAAAAAAAAAAAAATAGCCACGCATTTTTGCACACTGCTATAGCACCACGCCCTTACCTTAGGGTTTTGCTTGGGTTTGTCCTGAGGGTAAAGGAGAAGAGGCACGTTAGCCATGAATGGGGACGCCAGTTCAGAGAAGTCCAGCTCTGGTATCTTATTGGACTGGAGTTGTTTCTGAAGTTTCATTGCTGCAAGGTGCTTCTGAAGGGACTGGCACAGTGAGAGGGCACTGCACACAACTTCAGGTTTGTCCTAGGGGAAATAAGATACACACATGAAGCTGATGGCGATTTTATAATGAAGTTCAGAACAGAGTCACTCAGTTGAAACATGACAAGAAGGGGAAAAGTTTCACAGCAAGGAAGCAGTCTTCAAATTTACACCAGTGATCCACACAGGACTGGAGGATCATACACACAATCTTATTTAGAAGAGAAATTCAGGTATCAACAGGAGCACGACTTTTCACTCAAACAGTTGCAAACTGTTATCTCCCTACCAGCTCTTCTTTGATCATATCCATGATAACGGGTAAGTAAGAATCCACAATTTCTTTGCACTCAGAGACCAGGCCTTGGTCAGGAAGAAACTCGCACGTCTTTTCCAAGTAAGAGCGGATCTCATCCTACAAAAGATGAAGTGGGTTATAGACTATCAAAATATATATACGCTCTTTCCATTTCCAAAACACAAAGCCTAAAAATAGCCCCCAGAATGCGGTTTTACCCTTCGGTTTTCCCCAGTCCTGGACGTTCAGTGAAAACCTGAACCACTGCTTGCAAGACCTGCAAAAACGAGTCTTGCCAGCACAGGACACTGACACTTGAGATGAGTAAGCGAAATTACGAACTACCGGGACAGCTATTCATTCATACAAAGTACTCCCAGATTCAAAGAAGAAAAAGGGAAGAAGTTCCCACATGCAAAATAAACATCTCCTTGGTGTAATCGCCCACTTCTAGAGAATGCAGCATTCCATCTCTTGAGATCAATGGTCCACTGGCACAATAACAGTTTTATTAAGCACTTACAGACGAACAGGGATGTGTTAGAGCGTAAGAGGCTTGAGAATTTGCTAAGTTCTAAATCAGAAGTGGCCCGTGTACTCTGGTCCCTTTCAACATCTGCAACTGAGGTTGGAAAAACATCACGCAGACTGCCCTTTCACCTCCTTGTTCTTCCATCTCGTTAAGACAATAAAATTGAATCCTGCCCTGGGACAAGGAGAAGGGTTGCTCTGCTTACCTCGGTGCCATTATCCTTCAAAACCTTGCCAGCCACTGTCACAAGTTCCTTACACAAGTCACAGGGGATACTGCTCTGGAAAGAGAAGTAGAGAGTTACTCTGAGACAGAATTAAGTTGCAACAAACGCAGCATGCGAATAACGACACCAAGTCAGCGCCGCACTTGGAATCGAAGCTAAGGAAGAAATACTGGCTGAAGGCAGAGTGGGAAGAGCTCTTTTCAAATAAAGAGTGAGGCTACTCCAAGCATGTCCAGCCCCAGTTTCTTCAGTAAATCAACACAGTATGAAGAAGCAAGCATGCTGCCACTTGCTCATTTCACCGAGTCCCACCTCCTTTGAAGTACGTATTGCTCCAATAACCATTCCCCTTAATTTCTTTTACCTTATTCTTCAAAGAGCTCACACTTACTGTAAAAAGAACTTTTCAGGCAGCTTCACTCATTTTAGTCATGCTCTGTCATTCTGACATTTCTCCCTTCCCCTACTTCCCCATACACTGAAACGTATCTCAGGACACAGATACCACAGAGGGACTGAGTGTGCAAGTAAAATGTGTTTTTCCCCTATAAAATTCTGAAACACCACAAATCACCAAGTACAGCAGGACTCAAGTTTAGTACAAAACACAACTTGAAAAGTCACGTTAAATGTAACATTTGTACCATTATTTAATGTCATAACTTACGTAATTCAGCATATGCTGCTTCTTTTGTGGAACAATACCTTACAAAAACAACTTAAAGAAGCATACAGCTTTTTTTTGACACTGCTCAAGTTACAAATAAGAAAAGGCTCTACAAATTAGGAGTTGTTTTAGCCAGGAGGAGAGTCTGAAATCCACTAGCTCCATTCCACACATTGCTCATTGATTGTGCAACAGGTCACAGGAGAAGTCAGCAGACAAGTTGTGCAAGGCAGAGAAGCAGAAAGCAACCTTTATCTAGTACCCAAATTCGGCATAGTAAGCAAGGTGTAGTCAGATACAGCACTTAACTCTGACGGGAGACTGGAAAAAATCCTCATCAGCATACAGAAACCTCAGCTATAGGTGGGAAGAAGCCTCTGTCGTTGACACTTACTACAACAGGCTTGTTCCAGACATTCTGCTGGCAGTGTTTCACTGCTCCACACTGCGATGCTGTCCGAACGCTCTGACACCACACCTCTGGACCCTTCACGCAGTCCTTCTGCCACAAGACAGGGCTTGCCACAGCTGCAAAAGAAAATAAAGGAAAATTTAAAAATTGTTCTTTCACAGTTGCACAGTTGAACTGTTTCCACTTCAAAGCAAACAAGTTAATGCTGTCCAGTATAACCACAACCACTCCAGTACACCACTTTGGTTTACTAAATTTTCAATAACCTTTCAATCAAAACCACTAAATCTATTTAGACTGTTTCCTTTTGTGCACAGAAAAATTTGTGAGGGTGAGAAAAAAAAGGCACAAGTCCTTCCTCGTCTGGGTATCACCTCCCACAGAATCGCCTTGCAACCTATAAAGTTTGGAATTGTAAAAGTTTTGAATTGAAATACAAAATACCATTTCTGGACAGTCTTCCTACAGAAAATCCAAGAGATGTGCCCTATTAGTAAGTAATAGGACAATCAACCGTACATCTTTGTTGATTGTTTTTATAATCGCTTGTGACTTTCTATTGTGCTGTCTAGACTGGACATTCAATTTTTTCCAGTTTTCTAAAACCATCCTATTTGGCGGCAGGCTCAGTTTCTTCAGCAGTAAATCTCTTACACTGCACTAAACTACAAAGAAACAACTCCTAAAACTCTAGAGCAGGCTCCAAGGAAATCTGCCATGGTCTAAGCCCATAAGGCACTGCCACCAAAGTTTATTTAAAAACAAACCAAAAGAACAAACTCGTTAAAAAAGCCAAAACGCACAGCACAAAACAAAACCTTTTCAAACACCACTGTCTAGATGTTGTTTAGGACCCACTGCATCAATGCTGTTTACACATCACAAAATCACATAAAATTACACTGTCGCCCACGAAGCAGGAA